TGCTGCCATGTTCCTCACCTGGCTATCTCTGTCTTCCAGCTTATGTCCTGCCTGTGAAGATGGAAATGGAGATGGTCATCCAGCAGTATGAGAAGGCCAAGGTCATCCAGGATGAGCAGCTAGAGAGACTGACGCAGATCTGCCAGGAGCAAGGGGTAACACATTGTCACTTCCAGTTCTGTCCAGGGTTGAGGGCACTGGTGGGGCCTAAAGCCACAGGATGCTAGAACTGTAGGGGCTCCTCCAGTCCCCTGATGGACACATGGGGAACCTGAGGCCCAGAGGTGGGGAGATGTACCACTAAGGTCACTTGTGCCCAGTTCAGGCAGCCTGGCTCAGCCCTGATTCCAGGCCAGGGTGCTTTTCATCATACCACAGTGACCAGTCCTCAGCTTGGTTTGTTGGAGTCTTCTTGGCACAGTGGCCTCTGAGACAGGGATGAATATTGCCTGCAGAGGTTACTGGGACCAGTTGTCACCCAGGAACCCCTGATACCCAGAGAAGTTTTAGTAGTGCTCTCTGCCCTCCAGAGATCATGGTAGGCTCAGAGACAGGTGATGGGCCCTGGGAGGCTGTGCTCACCAGAGCCAAGGAGGGTGGGCAGCTGGGCTAGGGAGGGGGTCTGTCTACCTGGGCTCTGCAGCAAGACTAGAAAGCTCTGCAGAAACAGTCTGGATTGAGGGAATGTTCTGGTACCAGGCGTGCAGGTAGGCATGCCAAAAAGGAGACTAGCTAGCAAGGTGGCAGGAATGTTTGTGGAGGATGGACCAAGTGATATGTATGGTAACTCTGTTCTGCCCCTTGGATTCTGGGAAGAGGACAGGGCCACTGCTCCTTGCTTCACGAGCCATATAAGCTACACTCTAGGGAGTATAGGGGCCTCACTGCGCAGAGCCAGTCTGGGCGTGGAATTCCCCAAGCTGCATATCCCAAGTGGGGGCTAAGCCTTCTGGCTCGCAGTGCAGTGAGGATGGATGTGCCTTGGTCCCCTCCCCCTGCCCCATTGCCAGGTACCCAGGCTCTCTCAGGGGGACTGAGGATTGCCGTGCATCTGCCTTTCTTGACCTCACCTCATTTGTCTTGAGTCAAAGGGAGTCAACTGTCATTCTGACAAGCCCCATTGCTTAGTTTTGTTTTGTTCATGCTGTGCCCCTCACCTGAATCCTTGCTCCTTGCAAACTCTGCTTAGTTGATTTGTGCGTGTGCGCAAGTCCTGGCTTCTCCCTCCCATGGTGCCCGCTGCTCCCCGACCCCACTGCTGGCCTCCACAGGGCGCCAGGCGCTCTGCCGTGGGCCATGCCGATCTGCACCTGGGGCTGCCACCCCCACTGAGCTGGACACGCTCCGGGGGCAGGCCTTGACCCGTTCATGTTTGCTCCCAGCTCAGTGCCCCATATGGTGTGGGGCTCCCAGCTCTTCAATCCCAACCCCTCATAGCTGAAGGAGGAAGCGGAAGCCACAGAGTGTCTGTGGAGTGTCACCACAAACCGATCCCTGGAAATGTTCCCAAAGGGACACACATGCATGCATCTTCAAAACCATCCCCTGGAAATGTCTGTCAGGGAACCAAATCTTTTTATCTGCTCTAAGTACACCAGGGCCCTTCATTTCAGTGCAGAGTGCTTTTGAGTGACAAGAGGGGACATCAGGGGACACAGCCTTAGGAGCGCATTCTCCGGGGGGGCCTGGGGGTGGGACAGTGTGTTCAGTTCCTGGACTGAGCAGACAAATGTCCCAGTCCCTTAGCAGTTGCTGTCGGCTTCATCCTTACTCTTGCATCTGTTCAACAGGCACCATCGAGTGCCCGCTCTGTGCCTGGCCTGTGCTGGGCCCTGGGGACAGAATTCGGCTCCTGCCCTCCTGCAGCTCTGGGTCACTCAGGGAGTTCGTGGGCTCATCAATAGGCAGTGGCAGTCCGGTGCAGAGCATGCTGCTGTGGGGACATGCCAGGGCGTGGGGATGAGGATGAGGTGAATGGCTTTCCAGAGGAGCTCACATGAGCAGGGCCACTTGGAGAAGGATGTCAGGCAGAGGGGGTGGGGGGCATGAGAGTGCGGGTGGTGCTGGGGCAGCTCAGGGCTGCTCAGGATATGAGCAGAGGCAGGAAGTGAGGTGGGGTTGCAGGCAGGCTTTGGAAGGGGCTGCAGAGCTGACCAGGGAGCTTGGGACTCATCCTCTGGGAAAAGAGGAAGCCTGGAATGTTAAAAGCAGGGGTGGCAGGATCTGCTCAGACTGGAATGTTTGTTGTTGTTGTTCTTATCATTAACCTACAATTACATGAAGAACATTCTGTTTACTAGGGTCCCCCCTTCACCAAGTCCCCCAAACAAACCCCATTACAGTCAC